CAGATACTTGCAGAAACAAGAAATGGGCTCTGGGTCTTCTAGGCACCATTTCCCCACTAAACCTAATCATTAGCTTCTTGCTTATGTTTTACAGCTAGAATAAAGACTTCCTGAAACTTATCTAAATGTTTAGTCTTAGTTTACCTGGGCATACAGTGGGATCACTGGCAGAGTTACTGAAAATGCAGGTGTCTGCATCTCACTGCCAGAATTCCTATTACCTACTACAGGTGTAACCGGACAAGAGCGGTTCTAATTGCAGTGGTCCTCGAGAATGACTGCTCATCTAGCAGCATCTGCATCACCCGAAATTATTATGGGCGAAAAGCACTTCCCCCACATTAATCTGCAGTCTATGAGAAGACAGATTCTGATTCAGTTGTCTGCGCTGCACCTTAAGTCTTCCCTCCTAGCAAACGCCCAGGAAAGGCTCCCGTGGTTCTCAGTGTTTGGTGTCTGCACTGGCAGGATTACCCGGAAACCAGTTATGACAATTTTTAGGTTTACCTGACACTACAGGATTAAAGCGACATAACTAAGGTCTGTCAGTCTGTTTTAATATGGCCACATATTCAACTTTTAACTACTGACCTCAAGCATCTCCAATATCCTCTCAATCAACCAGGTACTCAAGTCATCAGCAAGCAATATTTTGGCCTGCTTCTGTAAATCACTTCAAAGACATTAAAATTATAATAAGCATTTTAAGTATTTTGTTGGCATCATTTTTATATTAATAAGTGAGGGTCAATTTTGCAACCACTATCTTTTAATATTAACTTATTGACAAACGATATTGGAGAATGTATGTTTTATGAAAATAGCAGATAATTGTGGAAAATTTATCTAGTCAACCACTAAGTAATATCAATAGTCCTTGGCTTTATAAACCTAAGATTGTCAGATTAAATTCTGGCAGAAGGTAAGTTACTTCTCTTTTACAATTCTAGTCCATTTTTAAAAGAAAACAAAATGGGTTAAATAAAAAAAAAAATCTAAAACATCCCCTAGATCAAATTCAATGCTTTCCATCCTCTGTGTGTGTTT